GCGCTGGCTTCTAAGCTCAGAGTGGACTCTTTCAGGTATGGCCACAAGACTGTGGGAGGAAAGGAGTGTATTCAGAGGGTGCCAACAAATGTATACGTTTTAAGAAAGAAAGCAAGAAAAAGCTGTATTGAAGTTATAGTACTCAATACATACCGATAGCAAAAGACGAATACAAATCACGTTTGATTTCTATAATTACACGAGGTGCTCAAAGCGGTTACTGTCAGCCTCCAGACACTTCTGACTACAGCGAACCTCTCTTAAAATGTGTGTACATTTTTTGGTATCCCCGGTATTTGGTTCCAACGGTGTGCCTGACGGTTTGCATATTTTTTCTTATCTTATAACCAAAACAATTTTTTTCAAGTAGATTTTAAAAAATTAATCTTCATTATATACAGATGAGGAAACAGGCTCAGAGAGATTAAGAGTCTCAGCCAAGGTTACAAAGACAAATAGTAGCTTCTAAAATTGCATCCGGGAGTCAGATTCCAAAGTCTTTGCCTTTCCCACAAAATCAGGGGAAATGTGACCACTGAGGGTAAGAGATTGTCCTGTTCACCCATGTATGCCCTGTGCTTAGGCAGTATCCAGTGTCTATTGAATGTTTGAACAGTAATATTGAAAATAACAGCAATGAACATACAAGGGGACCCCCCCCCAAAAAAACCCCAAAATTATCTTTTGGAGGGTGAGCCTCTATAGTACACTTGCAATTTGTTCCTCTGGATCAAACAGCCAACCAAAATTTTTATCTGGGAGTTTTGAGAATGTTGTGTCAGGAGTTGCAGGAGAAACATTCTGAGTTGTGGCAAACAGGTGACTGGTTCTTTCACCATGAAAAGCAGTTGCCCCCACAGCACTGTGTTCTGCAGTTTTTGACCAAAACCGGCATAACCCCTGTGCCCCATCCTCATTTACTCCTTATTAACTTGGGGCCAGAGCCCCACGCAACTTTCTTGTTGTTTCCCAGTTCCTCAAAGAAAAATGTTTTGCTGACGTGAAAGAGGTGAAATAAAAAACAGCAGAAGCACTAAAAGGCATCAACATTGACACGTTCAAAAATTGTCTTGAGTAGTGAAAAAAGCATCTCAATAGGTGCATTGTATCAGATGAAGAGTACTTTGAAGATGACTGAAGTTTAAACATATAAGAATAAATACACTTTTTAATAAATTCCAGTTTTGGGGGATGTTCTCCCTCATAAACAGCATTTATTACTGGCAGGCTCTCTTCTAAGCAATGAAGATAGATTGACTCCCTAATGGATAAAATTTATTTGTAAAATACTGTAAAACTCCTCATTTTTACAGAGGAGGAAACTAAGTTACAAAGAAGTAGAGTCATTTGCCCAAAGTGGCAAAACTAGTACTCAGTAGAGTTGGGGCACTAACTAAGCATTATGATATATTGAAGGAATGGAAGAAAGACCAGAAGGCAAGAAGAAAAGAGGGTCAGGAATAAAGGAAATCTGAAGTTTGAATCTCCTGAGTTGTGACTCCCAGGATAGGACAAGATAACTGTCACCACCCTCTTTCAACCAGCGTGGCCAGCAGCCACTGAAAGCCCAAAGAATGTGTCGTTTGCGGTTCATCTCCAGTTTTTCAGCATCCCTTTCGAACAATTCTAAGTTTATTGACTGTTTCCATCTAAGGAGAGCAAAAGAAAGACAGTATTTGTGACATTTTATTCCTTGTGAATTGCTCACATAAATGTTACATTGCTGGCTTTCAAGTGGTGGATCAATCTATGACTATTTTGTTGGTTTGTCTTTACATTGAATATAATCCATAGTCATGTGGTTCCAGGGACTTTACAATCCAGCCCCTTTAAACTCTTTTCTCCTCCATATGGGTCTCTCTTAGCCAGTTAGGCCCTTTGGTTGACAAGCATGAGATAAGCATTATGGTTTCTCTCTTTTGCTCACTACACTGTTCTCTATTACAAATACCCCTCCTCCTATTCTGACCACTCTTCAAGGACTAGCTTATCAAGCCAATTTACAGGGATACATTCAGTTTTTAGTACTATATAAACAAAAAAGAGTATACAGACACTCTGGGGTGTCAGGAAGAGAGCAACTAAGATGTTGAAGGAACTTGAACTTCTGTTGACAAGGGAATATTGAGAGAATTTGGGGTACTTAGACAGAAGAGGAAACTTATAGGAAACAAAAACTAGCTCTAAGTAATTTCAAGTTTATAAAATAGAAGATGAATTCTACATCATTGAAAGGGGCAGAAACAGGACTAACAATAATATTTTTTAGTGCTATTTTGTTATCATCTTTAATTTGTATAGCAACCCTATAAGGGAGGCAGAGTTATTGCACCAGTTTTACAATGGAGAAATTGAGGTTTAAAAAGATGCAGTCTCTTTCTCAAGGAAAGAACTAATAACTGGCAGAGTCAAGATTGTAACCTGGGTCTGTCTGATTCCAGAAATTTGATCTCTTCGCCATCACACTATGCTTCACAATTTTTTGCACAGCCAAGCACACATAAGAGGCGTTAGTATTTATGACACTGGGATAAACACAGGAAGTTTCTCATAACCATACTTCTGGAACTGTGGATACTTCAATCCACGCAGAACGTCTTGGAGTGCTAAGGAAATACATAAGCCAACATACCTGGCATACACTGGAGTTCTGGAGGATGCCCGGAGCACAGGGTCTGGGAACCTCTGAATGGTACTATTAAATTTAATAAGGAGGCTGATTTTGAACTTAATATGAGAAAGGACATTATTTCTAAGAATTTGAAGTGGATGCCTAATGAAAGTGAATTCTCTATTACTGGTGAAGATAAAAAAAATAAGAGCCACTTATTAGTCATGTTATCGAAGGGATTCATCCAGTAGGATTAGAGGATCTCCGTGGTCTCTGTGCTGAACTAGTTCTAAGTTACATCTCTTTCATGAAGCCCTTTTCTTCCAAGTCAGCCCCTAAGGACTCCACCTCCTATGGACTTTGCTGGGGCTTGTCAGAATGAATATTTTTGATATTTTTTTAATCTATTGCCTTGTGACATTGCTTGAACGGCTAGGTAACTACTGCTTGTGGTTTAACTTCTCACTTGGGTGCCTAAGCCTCTAATGGCAATTGTAGGCTCCTTAAGGTCAGAATCTGCATGCCGAACTGCCTCCTACAGAAAGTGTAATATTTATGTTGAATGCAGTGAGGGAAGATAGCAAGACTGAACTGAGCCTGGAGATGACTATCTCTCCATGTGATTCTCACACATTTCCTATTTCTATACTAATACTTGATTGTTTACATATTCTAGAGCATTCCAAAAATGCCAACTCCATCTCAGCATAATACAAAATCCCCATTAAAATTTTTGAAAAAAAAAAGTGGGGGATGGGGGAGCTGACTGGGCCCTTGAAAAGAAAAGCTTTTTTTTTTTTTTAAATGCCACTTGCTGGAATAACTTCTTGCTAGCCTGTAAATTTATGTCTAAACTTTCTTTAAAATTGACTTGGGAATCTTTTCCAAGAGGCTTTATTGTTCAAAATCCTCAACTTTCTGTTGCTCATCTAATTGGCTTTCTAGTGGCATAATATACTTCTTTTTATAGTGTCATTTTACATATACAAAAGTATTCTATGTATATTTTATACTGCTTTCTATGTTATCTCTCTTCCCAGATAAAATTTAATGTCCTTGAGAACCAATGTACTCTTCTGTAACTTTGAGGCTATATATGGGCATAAAATAGCACAACACATGGGCAACAGTAAGTTTCTCAATGCATGATTTTAAAAAATCAACAGTAGTAAAATTTGCATAATAATTTTGATCTTAAATAAGTTCTAACATGTCTCATGTTTTCCTGTTTACTTATACTTTGTTTAGTACGGGAGGAGCAATTGTTATTACTAAGTTAAGCAGTGGAAAAATAGATTCTGAGAAGTAAATTTACCATGTGAATCAAGGGAAGTGCAGGGACTTTTAATAACCAGTCTCTTATAATAATTACCGATGATGCTTTTTAATTTTCCTTTTTCAGCAATAATGATAAGGGCTGATTGTAACTAAATATCCTTAGTGGGCTCAGAGTTATTATCGTAATAGATTATGTCCTAAGGAGACAAGACAGACATTTTTGGAATAAGCTGAATCAGAAAGTCTGTCACTTAATGGGAATAGTACAAAGAACATGGTTTTGTACCCCAAACTGGTGCTTCTAAACTATAAAAGAAAAGAATGAAAATGAACATAATTTAGAGTGTTAAGATATTTTTAATTAACAAGATTATAGGAACAAAAAAGTCATATTAAATATAAAAGCATTTATTTTACTAAGAACTGTTATAGGATCGGGCACACATGTTACTTATATATATGTGGTGGCTGGATACAGTCAATAGGGGTAGTGAAGGACTACCCAAGTTAAGTTCTTTTACTAAAGGGACAGTATCCCCTAACCATTCTACCAAGTTTCTATCTTACTTGAATGTAGATATCAATAAAAGTCAGATATTACAATTTTTTATTCAAAATGCAAAATAGCCGGGCTCGGTGGCTCAGCCTGTAATCCCGCGCCTTGGGAGACTGAGGTTAGTGGACTGCCTGAGCCCACGGGTTCGAGACCCACCAGGGCAACTTGGCGAGCCCTCATCTCTACAATAAATCAAGAAATTAGCCAGGTATGGTAGGGCGTGCCTGTAGTTCCAGCTACTTGGAAGGCTGAGCGGAAGGATTGCCGGAACCAAGAAGGTCGAGGCTGCAGTGGCCGGGAGCGGCCACTGCACTCCAGTCTGGGCGACAGAGTGAGACTCTAACTCAAAAAACCAAAGCAAAACAAAACAAAACGCAAAGTATTTTAAACACTGTATGGATCAGATAAAATATATTTGTGGGAAACATTTATTTCCAGTAACAACAGACAGACCCATACACTGCCGAAGATAATCTAAACAAAAATAGATAAAAGTCACTTGACTGAAGA